ACGCATTGTATATCATTTGTCTCTTCTATGTCTATTTTAGGATCAAATGCTAGCCGCGTTTAAAGAAAATAAGTTATTTGAGATAGAATTAGCTAAGCTTAACTTCTTCACTAAGTGGTAGAACTCCTTTTCGTGCTTACAAAATCAGTATTGAAGGGTATAACTACAGACTGTTAGGTATTCTAAAATAGTCCTCAGTGTGCCTAGTGCGAGTTCCACAAAATTAATCGAATGACTTCACCATTGCGCTAACCGAGTTAACGTCGTCGGTATCGACAAGCGAAGACGAGCGAGTGTGAGTTACAATCAAAGCTAACCTTTCGATTTGCGTTTGCTCACTGTGAATGGCGGTTATTCCTTATCTTATGTTGGTAGCATGTTCGTTCCGTGAGATAAACTAACAAAATTCAGAATGACATTTTTATTTACTGGTCTTAATATTAGCATCTGTCTTTCATAACTGTGTGTAACATGTATTTGTGGTTATTATATCTTTATTACCCTTTTTGTTTATGTTCCGTAATTTGATCGAGGTTTCGACACTCCACAGTTTGTGTTAGTTTAATGAGATTATGAATTAGATATGGACGAGTAACTTGTCCGTGATTGTTAATAATATAACGTTTAAATTAAAAGCAAAAAACATAAAGATGTGTTTGTTTTAATATGCTTTTATAGTGAAATTTTGGAGCACTAAATGGAATTTATGTTATTTAGATGTAAATTTAAGTTTTATACGTGTGTTTAGTAACTAGGTTACGCGGACTAGAATTTATTGGATTTTCGGCATGGAGGCCTCGGCAAAGCATCGTCTAATGCAAGCGATCAAATGGTCTGTATAAAAAATTTAGAAGAAATTGATTTAATTATTGAATAGAAATAGTAGACCTTAGATTTATCAAACGCTATTTACACAAAACTTGAATAATTTAGTGGAAAATGCTATATCTATCCTTAAATTGCCTGTCGTCGGGATGTAAGTGTAACAACGGACGAAAATATGCACAAGCTCTTGCTTCAACACTGGCGTTATAATAGCAGCTTTGATTATGATGGGATTGTCTATATAATCAAAGAATAGTAGTCATCTATAATTATTACTTATTTATGCCTTAGCGGCTGCAAACATCCTCCAAGCGAAAAGAAAATTCCTGCCATAACTATACATCGTTCACATAAAACGAAATAAAATTAACTCTTCAACAATTATTCCCACTCTTCCATCTCACTGTAAAAATCCAAGTGAAAATATTTTCGATAGCGACGCCGTAAAGTTTACATAAGTTACGTCTCGAACGATCAAAATTGTCGGCACTCGCAATATACTTCAAACAACCAATCACGAGCGTTACCGTTCTCACTGTCGAATGTTAGTCAATGTTCAATGATCGATATCGACCACGTAGTAAACTCGCACTCAGGCATTCTGTTTCAAATTATTTTCACTAGTTGGCGCTTTTTTTATTCCATACAAATCGTAGTTAACTTTATCGCTATCGAACGCGTAAAAAAACTCGCACTAGGCACACAGATTTGACAACGCAATTATTGCCGCCTTTGTATAAAGTTGGATACATTTGTCCGTGAGCTGCGGTAGTCACTTACCATTAAGTAGACCGAAAGTTCGTCTGTCACTATGGTCTTATAAAAAAGCTTCGTTTTGCAGACAATGCATGCATTATAACTTTAAATAGTTTTGTATTACAATCTGATATCCTCTTGTTAACCATACGGTAACTTCAGATTCCATGGACGCATTTCACCCCTAATTTGACTAAAGCTATAACATTATGCAAGCATCTTATGAAATGTAAGTGATTTATTTTAACAAAAGCTGTAAACATAAGCTTGTAGAATGTACAATAAAGTTAACAGCGCTTAAATAATTAGAATTTTATTTCTTAACCTTTTATAAATTTAACGGTTGTTTTTATTTGTTTTGCCATAATTTTTATCTTTGTAAAACTTTCCTTTCAAGTGTATTTTTTATTAATGTTTTCACAGTTTTCTATATAAAAATATAAGACGTGTACGTATACTCTATAAAATTTCATTAATTTTTTTTAACTGAATTCAAACGATTTTGCGGAAACGACTAAACCAATTTTATAATGTTTCCTTTTTTATTAAAAAGATTATACTATAAATTTAAAGAAATATTTTCATCCCTATCGTTGGTAAACCAGGGGATAAACGTTTCAATGTACCTATTTAAATTACATTTTAGTCATCATCTTGAAATTGTGATCAGCTTTAGGCCACACGAAAAGGATTACCATATCATAGCAGCGATTTAATTTTTTTGGAGTAATTAATATTTTATTTTAAAATTTATATTATTATTTCTATAAATAAAAAAATTCTCTTCGATTACTGTTAAGTCCATATTTAATTTAACCTTTGTAATCGTTGTACCTTTTCGGTCTTATTCCAAAAAATATTTTAGTACATGGTCTAAACCTGCACTAAAAGATCCAGGTTTATTACAGTATAAGCGTTAATACCAGGATCAAAATGTGTGCTTATTCCAAAACGCAGACTATCTAAGGACTCGTTAGTACTAGTGTTGGGTACTGGTTTTAATACTAACCACAGGTAATAAACAAAAAATGACACTCTTTCGTTCGTCATACAGGTTTCATTCATTACAACGTTCGGTTTCATTAAATATTACTATTATTTTCACACTTAATTGTGGTTAAATAATTACGCATCAATATATCATAAATTGTTATTTGTTTAAATTAAAATCTACTGAACAAGCACGACCTATACTTTTGACGCGCTTTTTATAATCAAGTTGTTTTCACTTTAACGACTCTATCGTGAAATTGAGTGAATTACATAGGTACCGCGAGCGCGGGATTTGAGACGTTCAAAATAGTTTATATTGCATCCCTTAAGATTGCTCTTAAATGCTTCAATTCCGAGAATACTAAAGACAGAGCAAGACAAGTGGCTTATGTAATGATTTATGCTCACATTCTTATTACAAAGTTTCAACTGTTTTATAAGGCAATATAGCACATTGAAATACGTGGGAGCCGATTGCGTTTGTTTACTCCAACATTTTAGGGGCCGGTGACAGATGAGCGGATAATAAGTATAAATGCTCGTGTTATTTTAAATTTAATACATTGCTCTCAGTAACTCAGTATTTTGATATCATAAAAAAGGTTAAAGTGAGCTACGATCTACGAGCTTTTATTTATATAATAATGGAACAAAAGAAAAAAAGGCGTGAAAATAGGAGTTCTGAAGAAAAAGTTAGTGAAACATCGAAATTTATTTGTTAGTACGTAGCAATGCCCTTATCCTCCTATCATCCTTATTTCAACTAGCAAGAATGTTCTTATTATTATAGGAAATATTACGTACACTTATTGCTGAACTAGCACATATTATAGAGGATAAGTCCAAGAAAACGTCTGTAAATATGCAAAAAATAAAAGAGTGGAAGAATATAACTAATGCGCAAGTGCTTATTTCATTTGTTATGTGTGCAAGTAGGTACGGCTTGTTTAAGGGATTTCTTATACTTTTTTTTAGATTTAATGAAATAACAGGTAAATACCGATCAGATGGAGAATGAAGTTAGCTTGAAAGAGGATGAAGTTATCTGCTAACTCAAACTTATATACCTATAGGAGGGAACAAACAAAGACGGTGGGTGGCGAAAAACCACCATCACCTCTTGAGGACTTGGAAATAATGGCAATTGCTACTCATGACTTTGTTGTTGAAGTTAACGAAAATAATTTTGAATTGTCAATTGTACGTTTTAATGATAGATTCCAGAGCACTACCTAGGTACTTAAGTAATGGAAATTAAAGTTATTTAATTTTAATTAAACGTGTAACACATATAAGTAGATAATGAAGCGAAAACTAAATTAGAGAGTTGAATATGCTTACTAATATATATATATATATATATATATATATATATATATATATATATATATATATATATATATATATATATATTCGTCATTTTTATCATTCAGTTTCAAGATCCTAGACACCTTTTTGCTATTTAAATGCTTTGCATACTGTTCTTTAAGTTCATCAGGCGGATTTTGTGTTAGTTTAAAACTATGGCACTGATTACAAGTATCCTTTTTGGGTAGATGAAAACTCAAATTAAAATGACTGTTAACTATGTCTGTGTACTGTCTAAGACTGGAAGCTGTATTTGAATAATAGTTAAGTTCAGGCCAATCTTTGTATAAATTGAACATCCTAGCGATGCTCAAGTCACCATCTAAATACAGTCGTTTGGACGCTGCTCTGTTATAATGAGATTCTACAGGTACAAATGAATTAACGTGTGCACAAACCGACTTTACCATTTCATCGTCAACAACCCGATTATGATTTTTATGTTTCCCCCTCATGTCTTTTTCTATTAAAGTGCTTCCGTCATATTTATTCCAAGCTGTCCGAACTAACCTTTCGCTAATCGAATACGTACTTAAAAACATGATTTTACAAACCTCTATTTTTGATGAGCCCTTTGGCAAAAAAATAATTGTAAGTAAATTGACGGTTATGCTTTAAATCTCTTTGAAGGCCCCTTTTCTTCTTCTGTTTTGTAGTATAATTCGCAACATGCAACCATTGTTTCTCACGATCACTTAACTTCCAAAACTTTTCAAATGCATCCTGTCTTTCTTGGAGAGTCAACATAGTGTAACATTTATATCTACACGTGCAAGGCCTACCTCTAGTTTTTTGCTTGAACAATAACGCCCTTTTTGGAGATGTATTCTTTTCCTGCATTTGCTAAGCGTTTTCTTTTAATTTCTTCCCAATCGTCATAATTTCGGACACGTTTTTTACCTCTACATCGAATATGATGCGCTGGAGACAACTGGTATGAAGACACAGCTGTGCTTGTTTGATTGACAGTTGCTATGTCTGCACCATCGTGAGTGGAACAAAAAAAAGTCATTACATACCTCACCATGAGTTTTTACTGGTGATGGCATAGGTGTTTGTCAATTGTTGTCAACAGTCGAGGTAATCGGTTGCGGGAAAGGTGACAGGTCTGATATTAGGGTAGAAGTATTTAAAGGGGTTAGAGCTGAGGTGATATTTAAGAGGGACACGACACCATGCTGATTTTCTGACGCGAGTAAATATGGTGAGGATGCTTTTTCATACACGGCCATAAAAGGATCTTCTTCAAGAACACAAGTAGATGATGGTATGTTCGGGTCCATATTTTCATTTGTTGATTTTATGATTTCGCTTGCTCCGTGTACGTCATCTGAAAAGACATCTTCACAAATGTCGTTCATCTCTTCTATTACGTTGCGTGCTCCTGGAGGTAATGGCGAATGGCATTCTGAAAAGATATCAGAATATGTAAAAATAAATAGATTATTAATATCACAGGTCAACATTTACTAAAAACGGTAAGACTATTCATAATAAAAAGATTAGAAAGTATAAAAAAAGTACTTCTTTTTATTTATACAGGTAAATTTTTACACAAATCCGATTATTTTTTAAAGATAAATATATTAAATATATACAAATAATCATAGTTTTTCAATAGAAAAATGGCGGAAGTGAATTTAGTTCAAAGAAAAAAGTGGGATGAGCAGATACGACCGTTAGACAAAAAAGCGTGTCCACAAAATACCGGCGTTTGTAACCACGCGTCACTATCATGTCCATAGAAAAATGTAATATAGTTACATACAAATTGAAAATTTAAATTCTCAAATATAACAAAAACTCAACATAATAATTGGAGTAATATCAGCGAGCAAATATTATTTTTATAAAAATTACATTTTATATTGATTTATATTTTCCGAAGTATATGATGTTAGTAAAAGAAAGAGTGAAAGGAAAAATAAAACGTTATGGTGGGATGATGAGATGATACGTACGGAAGTTGAAGCAAAGAAGAGAGCATGGCTAGATTTACTAGCAACTAAGGCTGGTAACTTAGCGGTACGAATGATGATTTTGAAAGAAAAAAGGCAGTCTTTAGACATCTAAATAAAAGAGTAAAAGAAGTAGTTGAAAGGAAAAAGCAAGAAAGAACGGATAAGAATGATAGAAGAATATCGGATAACTTCCAGGCAAATATTAAAATGTTCTGGAAACTCGTAAGAGCTGCCAGGGGATGTTCAAAACAGCCTATAATGAATGCTATAAGTGATGAGAATGGCTATATTCTGAATGATGAAGTTTTGAGTTTAAAGAGATGGAAGGAATATTTTGAAATCAAGTTTATGAGTGAAGAGACAACTTATGAACTGAATGAAATAGGAACTCCGAAAGAAGAGGAAGGAGGTAGCGAGATAAGTATAGATGAAATAATGAAAGCAATGAAAAGCATGAAAGCAGATAAGGCTGCCGGATATGATAGAGTTTCACTCGAAATGCTAAGGGCTGGAGAGGAAGTGGTGGCAAGGCCTGCTGCACACCTTGTTTAATTTATGCTGGGAACTGTAGCGGGTACCGGGAGACTGGTGCAAAGCCGTGATAGTGCCAGTATATAAGGGAAAAGGTTCGCAGCAGGACTGTAAAACTACCGCGGTATCAGCCTTCTTAGCATCGTGGGAAAACTGTATGCCAAGGTACTAATTGAAAGGGTCATGAAAGAAACCGATGGAAAAATTTGGGATGTGCAAGCGGGATTTAGAAAGGGAATGGGATGTACAGATCAAGTCTTCTCCATGCGCATGATCGCGGAGAAGTTTTTGGCCAAAATCCAAAAGGTTTTTTGTGCGTTCATGGACTTGTAGAAGGCCTATGACAAAGTGGATAGGAATGTGCTATGGCAAACACTGAACTCATTTGGGTTGAGCGCTGGCTTGATACAGGCATTGGAATCTCTTAATAGGGACTCTAGTGCTTGTTTTAGGATCAACGGGGTCTACTCGGACTGGTTTGGCATCCATAAAGGTGTCAGACAGGGCTGTGTGGCTTCCCCGTGGTTGTTCAACCTATTTATGGATAGTTGTTTGCAAAATTTGAAAGTTAAAGAATGCGGATAATGTGTTAACCATCAAATGCCTTCTGTACGCCGATGATCAAGTTATTCTTGCGTCGTCGGCGGCTGAGTTGCAAATGATGGTTACTTTAATGAACAGATCATTAAAAGAAGGGGGTATGAAAGTGAACGCAAGTAAGACGAAAATTATGGTTTTTGAAAGAGATGAAAGTAAAACGATAAGTGAAATAAGAATAGAAGGGGGAGTTGATCGAGCAAGTAGATGAGTTTTTATATTTGGGTTGCGTATTTAGCAGGGATGGGAGATATGATAAGGATATAGAACGACGATTGAACGCAGGAAACAGAGTAAATGGGGCCCTGCACTCTATTGTGAAGAGTCAAAATGTGTCAAAAAAGGCACGTATGGCCATTCACAATGCTGTGTTGGTCCCTACTTTAACGTATGGTAGTGAAAGTTGGGTATGGCAGAAGAAGCACGAGAGTAGAATAAATGCAGTAGAAATGCGGTCGTTAAGGAGTATGTTAAGCTGAATCTGAATGACAGGGTGAAAAATTGTGTGATAAGAGAAGAGTGTGGTTTGCAAGATGATGTTGTGACCAGGATTAAGAAAGGAATGCTTCGGTGGTTTGGTCATGTGGAAAGAATGGATGAGGAAAGAGTGACAAAGAAAATTTATGTTGCAGAAGTGAATGGCAGAGTCGGAAAGGCACGTCCTAGGCGAAAATTTATCGACCAAATTGGCGGTTTATTGAAAACGGGCCAAATTAGGAGTACCCTTAACCGACGAGCATGCATGCGTAGGTGTATGGATGTGAAGGAGGCGAGAGAGGTGTGTCAGGAAAATGGAAGTCTGTAGTCTCTGCCTACCCCTCTGGGTGACAGGCGTGAGTGTTTATGTTATGTTATGTTTCCGTAGAAAACCGACGGATACTCAGAACCGACGCTTTACTTATTTATTTTGCAAAATATGTGTAAATACAAGAATTAAGTAATACTATAATATTAATACATAATTCATTAACTTACCTGGAGTCTCTGGTATGCAGTCCTCCTCATCCATGCGCTTTTCATGAGTAAAACCCGTTCTTTTCGAATTTTTGCTTGTTTCTTCCACAAGTTTTAACATAAGCTTTGATCGTCCTGTTTTCATTGTGGCACACCTTTTAATATAATATGTAAAAAAAAACTAGGCACGCAATAGCTAACAAACAGGCAAATAAAGTAAAACTAGTGCAATTGTTTAAGAAAAATCTAATCCGCTGCAACGCGTGAGCGAGTTCGACGAAAAGTGACGATTTCGTCGGGAGTGGGAGAGGATGGCGGGAGATCCCCGCGCGTCGAATAATGACGAGTATATACAAACGTCATTTTACTATGAGTGCCTATCAAATCCGTCTATTTACCGACTGATTATTTTGAAATCCGAAATACATATAATTTTTTTCTTTAATATAGTAATAATATTTAGGCAATATAGTATCCAAATATGGTAAAAAGTAAATTTCGTGTTTTCTTTTAGAACCGTCATTGTTCTGCGATCATGACGAAATATATTATAAAATACTTATATAATAACCGCCATATTATCTAACACTGTAATTTAAAAAAAACCGGCGAAGAGCGTGTCTGGCCATGCTCAGTGTAGGGTTCCGTAGTTTCCCGTCCATCACAATAAGTGTTCCCACTTGTGAGTTTAAAGGTGGGTATCCATTATGTTCGCGCTCCAGCAGCGCTCCGCGCTCCTGCAACTGCTCCCGGTAGTGGGTACTGTTGTTTCCATCCAAGTTCAAAATGATTTTCCTAGAAAGTCCATAAAAAGTCCTACTTTTCGGATTTTTTTCATATTTTCTAAACTTATGGTTCAAAAGTTAGAGGGGGGGGGGGACACATTGTTTTTTACTTTTGGATTATTTCCGAAATTATTGACATTATCAAAAAATGATTGTAGTAAACCCCTCTTCATTTTTAAATACCTTTCCAAGAATATATCACACGTTAGGGTTGCAATTAAAAAAAATCACTTCCCACTTTACATATAGGGGGGCTACCCTAATAAAAAAAAATTCTAATTTTTATTTTACCAATTTGTCGGCGTGATTGATACACATATTGGTACCAAATTTCAGCTTTCTAGTGCTAACGGTCACAGAGATTAAGCGAGGACGGACAGACGGACAGACAGACATGACGGAACTATAAGGTTTCCTAGTTGACTACGAAACCCCAAATAATATATAAAAAGAACGGCAATAAGAGTGGGCATCAATCGTTACGCCTCATTGGTTTAAAATTGGAACCAAGTAAAGTTTTGTAATATTTTAAACATTGAAACGGTTAACTCATTTACATTTTTCTTCATAGATTGGAATCATTTCCAGATATTGAATTCAAATTTATTCTTAAAATGAGGAGTTTTAATGGCATTAAAAATATTTATAATCAGTAAGTTCACGATTTAAAAAAATGGCCTTTAATATCCCTTTCCAACAAAAGAAAAGTACTTTGTAAAGTTTTATGTCATAAAATCTTTTACGATGTAATTGATTTATGTTGATAAAAATATTATTTGTATTTCTCTATATTATAAAAATCGTCGGTGCGCCTTATATTGATCGTGAAACTTCTAAATGACTTGACCGATTGAGTTCATAGTCAGTAGATGTTGGTGGTGCCAAAAAAAGAAAATCACAAATAGTACCCTATAAGTGCTGCTCTGGTAGAGATATTAAAAAATATATGTTTAAACTGTAAAATGTTCGGAGTGAAACTCATTCCCCTACCCACCGGAAAGGGCAGTACAACGTCTGCAGTACTAGTTCTGCTAGTAATTCAATAAAACATTTGGTTTTCGGATATTACTCATGTATTTTATATAAGTAATGATGCTTTCAGATTCGGACAGATATTACAAAGTATAAGAGCAGTGTTCAGTTTGTATAACATTCATGTAGGAAATCACAATGCTTAGTTTAAATGTTTGTCAATTTATGATGTGTCGAGGAGTACTTAACTCATCCCATCCATTAGTCCAGTAGATTGCGCATGGCGTGCAACAACGGCTTACTGAACCATTGTTCTATTTTATTTTTTCACGTCTGAGTTATCCTTAAATTTTGAGAGAACTTTCATCAATATTATTTATCGGATAAAATACACTTAAAAATTTAAGCTGAATCAAACTTTAATTTGATAGTTTATGTTTGTACTGTTTGTCGTTTATAAACACGCTAAAACAAATTATTTTTCATGCTACTCTTAATTGGATTTGAACCTAAAAGACATAGAAGTCATGAAATCATTAAACCAAGCTGTCATCAACAAGTTATTGTTAAAGCTAACAAACACAACTTTGAATATATTAAAAATACCTTATTATGTCGAATCCGCATTAAAGGAGACATGTCAAATATTATATACACATAAATATTTCAGCATAATATTCAAAGCTTAATAGATTTAAATTAAATGGTGTTCATTTTTACAATTTTTAAAATTTTATTGTTTTTGTCGCCTTAATTGACATGTTTTTAGTAAATCTGAAAAGTCCAAAATCTGAAATGAATTCATCAGCTGGATAATGCGGTTTGCATTCAATGAATGTGGATGTATTTAAACATTCTTCACTTTTATTCTGAGACTAGAAAAAAATATTACGAATTCTCAAACCTAAGAATGTGTTTTCATAAATAAGTATAAACATATAGAAGATTCTCAGGGGATTTTTTATAGTAGAGGGGGAAAACGAGGATTTGGCTTAATTGACGGTAGGTGACTACCACCACCGCAATTCCAGAGAAATCGCAAGTGCGTCGTCGGTCTTTTAAAAAGGAGTGAGCAGCTTTTGAAGATTCTACGGGTGACGGTAGGTTCCTCACCATAAACTTGGAATGAAGGATATTACCAACCATCTGGTTACAATAAGTGGATGCTGACTGTGTGTATTTGTCACCTTCATTGTGTACAAAAATTGTTAAAACATAAACATGGATACAGAAACAAAACAGATCTTTATAAATATGGAGGACTTATGATTATAACAGGTTTCCCACACTAACTATAAAAACATCCGCGCTAATGGAGTATCTCTTAACGTTCTGGAAAGCAGAATTTTAATCACACGCTGCTCTTGCTTTATACAGCTTTTAACGCACGACTATATGTCGTGAAAACAATATTTTTAACAAATAAATTTTGTAACGCAAAACATAATGTGAATAAGGTGAGTAAGTTGTCGCACTTAAGTAGTGTAGAACTAACAACTATTAATTACAGCAAAACCAATGCTGTATTTGGTTCCGTTGATTGATTGTAGGTTTTGAAAACACATAACATTATACTTCTTATTTATCAGCCTGTAACAGTCCATTGCTGGTCTCTCCTATTGTGGGAAAAATACCACAGAAATAGTAATAATAAGACAACGGTAATGAATTAGCGCTCGATTACTTCCAAAACCGATGTCGCCACATCTTAACACACACATTAAACGACAGATGCCTGCAGCCGTATTTTAAACATACGCAATGCACAATGATATCTCATGCTTTACATTACGTTGCTTGTCGAGCTTGTCAACGTCGCGTGCGTCATGTATTACGGTAGAATAAAAGCAGCAATGGTAATTGTAAATACGAAAAGTAATAAATGAAAGTTTACAAAGGTAAATATCAAAGTAAAGTAATCATCTAGATGTAAGTTAGTTAAATCAATGATAATTAGTAAATAATCAACTTACCGATGAAATGTTATGCTTTTATTAGTTGAATTACACGTCCTTGGTGAGTTTTTACAAATGATTGTGCTGCTGTTCACCTTTATAATAACATAAATTCACGTACGACGTTACCCACGCAACTAAATCACAAAATGGTGATTAATGTTTGTCAACACATCATAACGGCGACAAGGTCACGCGTCTATGCGACTTCTACATGTACATAAATACATAAACACTCATGCCTGTCACCCAGAGGGGTAGGCAGAGACTACGGACTTCCATTTGGCACGATCCTGACATACCTCTTTCGCCTCCTTTACATCCATATATCTACGCATACATGCTCGTCGGTTAAGGGTACTTCTAACGTGGCCCATTTTCAAAATATCGCCAATTTGGTCGATAAACTTTTTTCTAGGGCGTCCCTTCCCGACTCGGCTGTTCACATCTGCCATATAAATTGGCTTTGTCACTCTTTCCTCATTCATTCTTTCTACATGACCAAACCATGATCAGGGGGGATGAGTCGCTCGCGTCCGTAGGCTTCGACCACCTAACCTTAGGCCCACCCTACACGTGTCTCCCGGGTGGTGCTAAACGAGCGACAAAGAAATAAATAGACTCGGCTCCTCGCCCTATGGTAGCGGCGTAAAATCTACCACCACCCATTGTTCGCACCATGACTCAGGAAATAAAAGAAATGGCCCCGAGTTCCCGGCGCCCCTATAATGTGGCAGGGGTGCGAAGAATCTCCGGGAGAAAAACTGGCGACGAGGTTTGCCACCCGTCACGTTCTGTCTGCCGGAGGGGCGAAAAGTGGATTGCGGAAACCCGTCTGGCGACTTCTATTATCTTATTATTACGATTTCTGTGGAAAAATACCCTCGGTGGGCTACTTGGGTAGTATGTTTTACGCCAATATTTTCGCACCATGAGGAACTATATAAAAGAAATGGCCCCGAGTTCCTGGCGCCCCTTTTAATGGGGCAGGGGTGCGAAGAATCTCCGGGATGAAAACCGGCGACGAGGTTCGCCACCCGTCACGTTCTGTCTCCCGGAGAGGCGAAAAGTGGATTGCAGAGGCCCGTCTGGCTACGTTGAATGTATGTGGGGCAATGAATAAATGTTAATGAGACGAAAAGGAAGGGGAAGGATATCACTACACATGGCATGTATACCGCACACTGGTCTGGTGTAGACCAGATCGAGCGGGCATGCCAGGGAGTAGGTATCATCCTTTCAGAAAGAATGGGCCAATGTGTGAAAGAGTATGAATGTGTAAGCCCAAGACTGCTATGGATACGAATGAAAGTGGGCTTAAAGAAGTTGTTTGTGTTAGGGGTCTACGCCCCAGACATGTCTAACCTCACTTATATCCGAGAGCATTTTTCGGAAATGGTAAGGATGGTGTTAATGAAGTGTAAGGGAAATGA